GGATGGATCATTGCTTTCATGTTGTTTACGCCAAATTCTGACCCTACCATCTGAATGTCACAGCAGAAATTGAGACTCATCAGACCAGGCAACATTTTTCCAATCTTCTATTGTCCAATTTTGGTGAGCCTGTGTGAACTGTAGCCTCAGTCTCCTGTCCATAGCTGACAGGAGTGGCACCCAGTGTGGTCTACCTTCTATCATCTTAATAAACCAGTCTGGCCATTCTCCTCTGACCTCTGGCATCAACAAGGCATGGTCACCCAGAGAACTGTTGCTCAGTGGATATTTTCTCTTTCTCAGACCATCCTCTGTAAACCCTAGAGATTGTTTTGCATGAAAATCCCAGTAGATCAGCAGTTTCTGAAATACTCAGACCAGCCTGTCTACCACCAACAACCATGCCACCTTCAAAGTCACTTGACTCACCTTTCTTCCCCATTCTGATGCACGGTGTGAACTTCAGCAGGTCATCTTGACCATGTCTACATGACTAAATGCATTGAGTTGCTGCCACAGGATTGGCTGATTAGCTAAGTGTGTTAAAGAGCACTTGAACAGGTGTACCTAATAAAGTGGCCGGTAAATGTAGTTTTGCTGTTGATAAGTCCTCGTTCACTTCAGTTCATTAAGAATGTTCCTCTTTTGTGGATTTTTCATCCACTGTACAAGCATGGGAAAAAAAGCTTTCTTCAGGATTTCAAGGTAACACACAGTGAGTAACTGATATACAAAGTCATTCAGCGGGTAAAGTAGTCCTTTAAATACGGTACTTTAGTAAATGAACTTAGTTATTTTCCACCACCGGCTCGACCAGCTATCATCTCGAAACAACTTCTAATATTCACACAACAGAGGTGGATGAAAAGAGGCATGAATTCACACTTTCTTTTGACGATTTTGTGGAAATTCATTAAAATAAATGACAAATTTGGCAGAAACACTTTGTACAAACTATTTTAAACACAAACATGTACTGGGGAATATTTTAGTAACGATACAACTAGGAGTACTACTACTACTCTTTCTGTCACACCAGTAAAATATCAGCTTGCAGTGTTTGTTTATAGATTTCTAGTAGAGTAGTTGTAGCTGCTGTCAGTGGCTGTGGTGTTTGTGTTTATAAAAGACAGGTCCTGACAACATTAATCATTAAATGTCAGTGTTAAATTCTTGGACTGAGGTTATGGTGAAGATGGAGGCTATTAGGCATGTTGTGGTTATATGTCTCTAGAGAATGAATGTGAGTCCTCTCCTCCCTGTTTGCAGTCAGGTGATGGAGATGGTGTCCGTTTACAGTAACATATTGCAAACTGAGGAAGATGAGTCAGTGTGCATGTTGAAATAAGATGTGTGTGTGTCTCCAGTTACAGTTTGGGGTTATGGATCTGTGACCATAAATGATCAGATTACAACACACACACACACACACACACACAATGACTACGAACATACAGATCAATAAAGGGTCATGCGACTCTATTGGGTATCAATCCTCAGCAGATGTTTACATGTTGTTGTTGACACACATACATACACACTTTGTAAGAACCTTTACTGACATAATCCAATGCTCAAGTCCCTAATCGAGACCTGATCCCAACACTAACCCAAAAGCTGAGCGTAAAATGTCAAACAGCCTTGAATTAATGATGTCTGTGCAAAATGTTATCACTTAAAAATGTCCTCGTTTTCTAAAAGTGTCTTACTCATTAAAAAGGTCTATTTACAAAAAAAGGACTGTCCTTACTTTCCAGAAATATTTCCACTACTCATTTAAAAAGGGTTCCCTTTTCCCAAAAAGTGTCTTCACTTTCCCAAAACGTCACCTCTTTTTTTTTTTTTTGTTTTTTTAATATCTTCATGTTCCCAAATGGCTCCACTTTAACAAAAATATCCCCACTCTCCATTACTGTCCTCACATTCCAAAACTATCCCTAATTTTTAAAAATGTCCTCACTTTCCAAAGATGATCTTGTTTTTAAAAGTCTGTTTTTTTTTAAACAAAAAGAAATCCTCTTTTTCCTAAAGTGCATCCAAGTCCCCAAAATGGCCCCACTTTCTAAAAATGTTAAAGCAACACAATGGAGTTTTTGAGCCCTTAAAACATATATCCAGATCCTTGTGATCATCAACTCACAATAGGTTGGATGACACCTCTGTCATTGCTTGAGAGCGTCTGTTTCACTTGCACTGGCACTATGCAGTTTTGGGGTTCGGGTAGGAACCCGGACACAAAAAAGACTATAAAATGTGGCTGCTTTACGGCATACGTCATATGCCCCTCCTCGTCATATCCCCCTCCTCTCTTTAGAGTAGCATAGTCGAACCGAGGTGAACGAAGTTAGACGTGGTTGTTATGGCTGAAGTGATGAAGAACAGGAAGAAGGTGAAGGTGTTGTCCGAGGAGACAAAGAAAAGAAAATGGGAGAGCGATAAATCAAGAGCTCAAACAAGGATTAATATTGGCCCGGCTTTCATACGCTTGCGAGAGCTGAAAGAGGAGGGATGCCTGACCGATGGTGACCTGGCGCTGTTACTGCTGTTACCCTCTACTTAGGAGACTCAAAGTCTGCAGGTCGGCTGCCTCAGGTACATTTTAAGATAAAGTGTTAGCCTACATACAGACAGCTTTCATTTTAGTTTGTCTTTTACACTTTGCTTTTAGCACCGCAAGCGCGATGTGCTTGTGTCAACCACGATCGTAAATCATAATAGCGGTGAATGAGAGACTGCGGACAGAGCAGATTGAAATATGATGATTGCACATTACACGGCCAGCTTCAGGAAGTACACTGGTATCGTTGGCTTGGCAACAAATGCATTTTCAAATATTTTTGTGACAGTTGTAACAGACAATACCATCTTTTCGCCTGTAGGGGGACCCCGTGAGGTAAAAAGTGCAATCCTCTATTGTGTTGCTTTAATACCGTATGAAATTTTACTCATTTTCTGAAATGTCCCAATTTTGTGTATTCATATCCACACTCTCTAAAACTATCCATACTTTCTAAAAATGTCCCCATATTTCAAGATGTCCTCACTTTCCAAAGATGTTCTTACTTGTTTTAAAAAGTATATTTTTTTAAAGAAGTCCTCTTCTTCCTAAAGTGCATCCAAGTCCCCAAAATGCCCCCACTTTCTGAAAATGTTCATACCCAATGAAATTTTACTCATTTTCTGAAATGTCCCCATTTCTCATTACTATCCTCACTACAAAACCATCCATACTTTCTGAAAATGTCCCCACATTTCAAAACGTCCTCACTTAAAAGTCTCTTATTTTAGAGAAAAAGGTTTTTTTCTTTTTTTTAATGACTTATTCATTTTAAATTTCCATATACAAAACAACAGTCAATATACAACTACAGCTCATGTAGTTCTGTGTGAACCTGAGCACAAGAAAAATAGGGGTAAACAACCACTCAATAATGTGGCTTCATAGAGATAAAATTAAGAAAACAAATGAAATAACAAATGTATTAATCCACAGAACAGATGAAAACTTTAAGAACATAAAATCTCCCTGAAAGTACCTGTGATTCATGTGCCTCCACCTTCCCCTTATTCTTGGGCACTTATAAAGGCAATATGAAAAATGTCCTCATTTATTTAAAAAGTATACTAATTTCAGGAATCTTGAACTGCCGCTTCTTTTCTTCTGTCAGATTTCCAATGGTTTTACTTATGTGACTGTATCTAAATAATTGTTACTGGAGCCTCAGTTTGCTGTAATATGAAGGAAATAATTAACAAAATCTTACACTGGACTGATGTTTGTTTACAGATACTCAATTTTAAAACACTGACCAGGACCAGGAGGAAAAAACGCAATCCGGACTTTAAATGATATTAACAGATCAGTTTCCAATGCCAAACGCTACTTCAGACAGAGGCTCGGGCCCCAACACCTTGCGGTCATGGCGGCAGATGAATGGCGGGACAGTGGGTCTCAGGATCTTGTCACAGTATTTCTGTGCATTCAAAATGCCCTGTTAAAAATGCACCTGTACTTGTGCAAAGCTTATGCCAGCCCACACCACGGGTACAGTGTAAACTGGGCTTCATCTGTGAAGAGAACTTTTCTCCAAAGTGCCAGATGTCATCAGCGATGAACAGTTGCCCACTCAAGTCAGTTATAATGATGAACTGCTGTCAGGTCAAGACCATGGTGAGGACAGTGAGCATGCAGATGAGCTTCCCTGAGACAGACAATGATGGTTTGTGCAAATATTCTTTGGTTGGGCAAACCAATAATTACATCAGGTGAGGACACTGCTGTAGAGGTCCTGAGTTGTTGTGGTTACACATGGTCTGTGGTTGTGAGGCCGGTTGGATGTACTGCCAAATTCATGGAAACGACATTGGAGACATCGTTGTGAAATGAACATTTAGTTCAAGGGCAACAGTTCTGGTAGACATTCCTGCAATCAGCATGCCAATGGCACGCTACCTCAAAAACATCTGTGACATTGTGTTATGCAGTTTTGAGTGGCCTTTTATTGTGACCATCCTGAGGCACACCTGTGTAGTAATGATGTCACACCTGTCAGGTGGATGGATTATGTTGGAAAAGGAGAAGTGCTCACACACAGATTTTCACATAATAATTACTTTTTATACTTCAAGTACATTTAGTTTATAATACGTGTGTTCTTTTACCTAACCAAGATTTGAATACTGAACTAATGCAGTAGCCTACTTGAGAGCTGGCTAAATCAGGGAACTAAATACTCTGCTGGATGAAATCAATCTTTTCTGTGATAAATGAGATCTCGCGGTGTTTTAGTCTCAGACCTGAATCACAGTAAATGTACTGATGAATATTACTGCTGCTTGTCGTCAGGGATATTTTCATTTCCATCAATTTTACAGCACTGGAAGTAAATGTGCATGCGCGCCCGTGCTGTCGGTGTGTCGGGAGCGCGCAACTGCAGCAGATCAGAGGGGGGGTGGGAGGAGGGAAGGGGGAGTGTGAATGTTACGAGTCACTTCTCATTCCACTAATTTAGCAGAAAGGGAGGAGAGAGGGAGGTAGAGAGAGCCTGGCGGTGTATTGGAGAGCTGAGAGGGGACCGTGAGGCGGACTGCCGAAGCCTCTGCAGTAAAAACACCAGCGCTGCTGAGAAAACCTACAACACCCAAACGCACCGGGCCGGGCGAGTTTAATTCCTCCAGGTGTGTGAGGAGGAAAAACCGCGGACGCAGAGAAAAAAAATCCTGTAACGTCGACCAGTCATCCGCCGTTTATCTCGGTGATATCAGCTGCTGCTCGTAGCCTACAACACGCACACAGTGTTCCGGTTCACCTCACGGAGGAGCCACCGGACAGCTGCAGAGGCACGAGGCGGAGAGGAACAGCTCTGTGTGGTGTTCATATTCTCGGGTTTTCCACCCACGGACTGGGGCACTCGGTCCCGGAACCGTCGCTCGGTGTTTACGCGGCGGCTGCAGAGAGCGAGGAGCGGGGGGAGGAGGACGTGGTGAAGCCAGGGAGGAGCGGCCGAGGGCTGCGGCCACACGGAGCAGGTTTCTGCCAGAATTTCTTTGGCGAAAAGGGGTTTATATCACGGTGCGGCGATATCCAGGATAGAGGAGCAGGACTCCGCCGCCCACCTCCACCAACACTCTCCCCCACCTCTGTAAATGGGTTAAAAATCGATTTGTTCTTCCAGAGCAGCCGTGCAGAGCCTTGGAGGGTCCGTTCACACCTGCTAACACCTGCACAGCCCGACCTGCGGGGGCTTATGATGTAGCCCCCACCTCTGCTCCGTTTCTCTGCATCACCATCCTTTAAAACATCCACCTCCACCCACCAGTGTATCCCTGCCCCCCCCCCACCCCCCATCTCTTCTCCACCCCACCCAGTGTCCCACCATGCCGGCGGGGATGAAACCGCTCGAGAAGTTCCTGAAGAAGCAGACCACGGCTCTGACCCGGGCCGGGGGCTTTGTTGGCGGGGTGGCGGACAAGGCCAGCGGGGGGACGGGGGCGTCCCGCAGGAGGGCCAGCCTGTCCCGGGTCGTTCCCTTCTTCAGGGAGACGTCACCGGAGAGCGGCCAGGCTCGGGAGGTGTTCAGGTGAATGGTCTTTTTTAAATGATGGAGTCACTCTTAAATGAAAACGTGACACAGGATGGAGAACATAGATACATGTCTTTAACCGGGCATGGCCGGATTAACTCGTGAACGGGCCCTGGGGTCAAAAATGAGCACAGGGGGCCCCAGTTGGCCCCCGGATTGTTGTATCTAAGTTACACATAGATGCATATTTAGAAATCTGCACCTCAGGGACCTGGATTCTGCTGGTAATGTAAAGATGGTGTGTTCAAGCTACTACAGGGTGTTATGATCTTTGATCACATAGTTTTGGTCTCCTGGATCTGCACCTAAAAACTTAAGGGTGAAATTGAAAGTTACATTTTTAACTTGTTATCCAGCATTTTTTATTTCCATATTTTTGATCAACCAACATTTTAATTCAATATGTCCAAAGACTACATGCTCCATTCTGCTCTTCTTCTTCATTGGAACATTAAGTGTTCAGAAATACTGGATTTAAATGTTGGTTTTGTCTTTTGCAAAAATATTTTATCAATCCACAGGATATCTTTTAGATTATGAAGTACTTTTGAAGATGCAACTCACTGCTCAATAACAAGTCGACCAAACTAACAGTCTGTGCAGCCATGTTAGCAGACTGTTCTAAGACACAGCATGTGTTGAGCTAAGTGGGGCAGTTATTGGTTTTGTGGTCCAGATTTAACCAATTTGCTGTACTTTGTTTTCGGCCTTGTATTAAAGGAGGTACTCCAGTTATTTAGTAATGCATGTCCATAATAAAGTTTGGGAACTCAGATTGTAAAGAATGCTCCAGCAGTGGTTGAGATATTCTGACATTTAGGCCCTAAACGCTCCTACAGTTTCCCATAAATTATCAGCAAAACTTGGCTGCAACTTACAGCAGTTTTCTTGATCAACTGATTAATCGGTTGGTCAATAAAATGTCAAAACAATTTCCTGAAGTCGAAGGTCATCTCTTCAAAGGTCTTGTTTTGTCTGACAGTCAGATGCCCCAAAATATGCAGAGGAAGAAAAATTAAGAAGTCTGAGACATTGCAGTTGTAATTTTCATGAGCATGATAACAGGAAGTGGATTAGGAGGTGTGAAAACATCTAGATATTTTTTTCCATCTTTTAATAATTTTGTTAGTAAAACATTTATGAAACATTAATTGTATACAAACTTTTAAACCTCTGATCCCTCCACAGCCCTGACAGTGAGGACCCCCCCTCCTGGCCCTCAGCCACGGGGCCCGGTCTGGTCACCGTGCCCAACAGCGCTAACAGCTCCGGTTCTGGTTCTGGAGGAGGAGACGTCCGCAGCCCGTCTCTGTCCAGCGACGAGCAGAGCTCTGAGGCCAGCCTGATCACAGAAACCAGCGTGGGAGGAGTAGGAGTAGGCGTTGGAGGAGGAGGGGGGACGCCTCTTCCACCTGACACACCGGACAACCTGACCCTCGCTGTGCTGGACAGTGCGGCGGGAAAACGCACCGCAGTCTGCACAGGTAAGACCGGCAGCCTTTTTTACTGTATTTCTGAGGACGTCCAACTTGGCTGTTGGAGGAGGTGAAGCTCACTAAGTATCCTCCTGATGAAGCACTCTGGTGTGATCTTTTGTCTTTTACTTCATCACTTCTACATGAAAAGTGTATCTGCTGCTAGTGACCAACGTATGCGCTCACTTCAGCAAATATCTGACTAGTTTGACAAAATAATGTTCTGCGTAAAGGAGTGACAGAGCTGATGGAATTTATTATTTTTATATAAAGCTGCTCCCAATACAGTTCTTGTCTGACTATACTCCTCAGCAGTCATGGAAATAAACTAAAGCACTGTACTTTAATAGGTATTTGTACCCTACTTGAGTGTTTTCATTGTCTGCTACTTTGTACTTTACTACGTCTCAGAGGTACATATTCTACTCTTTGCTGCACTACATGTATTTATAAACTCTAGTTACTTTCCAGGTTCAGATTAATAATACAAAAAGAATATAGATAAAAAATATATAAATGAATTTACAGTAGCTCCACCTTTACCAGCTGCAACATTAAAGTGATGAACACATGAATGTATAAATAATTATAATCCAATAAAATGGATTATAATTATTAATGCAGTTTGGCTGAAGCTGTGTTTGTTCCCAAACTCCATATCCAGGCTTTCTTTGTGTTAGCTGGCTCAACAAAACCTAAACCCCAGTCAGAGATAACAGGTACCACAGTGGTGGTTATCACTGTCCTTGTTAAGCAGGTTTACATCCTCAGGCTCAGTGCGTTCCTATAAAAGGGGGCGTTGACTCTCCCACTGCACAAAATGGACCAATTGCGTGCCGCCCACATCAGCCTATGAAGAATATGAAAAAAATATTACAGCAAAAAGCAACACTGCTGCTGACAAGAGAGGAGTAATGGCAGTAAAATTCCAATAAAATTAACAAGTTAGTATATTTATTTTTCCACCGTTTATTTCTAACGGGACAGCTGCACATTCTTCACCTCTCAAATTTGATGCAGCAGATTTAAACATTATACACAAACTGCATTTCAGTCTGACACTGTCTATAATGGAGACGTGAAAATCACTTAAGGTTTCGGCCAAATCAGAGTGAAATAAATGTTACTGATTGAATATTTTCTGTGATAAATACAATTAGACAAATCAATTTTCTAATTTGTGTTCTGTTAGCCACAAAATACCAGCCGTTAAAAGGGACTTCAGCAAATGAGGACCAAGTAGCCAGAGAGATGTTAATTTTTAACAGGTGGGACTGATTGATTGAACAATTAATATTCAATATTTCATTTTGAGATGTAAGTGGTTATGTTTCCTGGAAAGATGCTCGGTGTCTGGTCTTGTTTTGGCATTGCCGCGGTCTCAAAACATAAGAGGAGACATACTGGTTTTGAACTGCTGTGGGAAGAATGAACAACTTAGAGGCCGTCCATTTTGATTAAAATATTTTTTTTAACTGTCTACTTGCTCTCCTTAGAGAACAAGCCATGTAGAATTACTTTTTTGTGTGTGTATCTCATTCGCTGGAGTTACAATGCATTGTGCAATGCAGATATTCTATGGCTGAGTAGCATCATGTGACATGATTTAACACATGCAATTGGTCTCTGAGTTTCCTGGCTGCTAGGTAGTTCAATGAGAGCAGAAACAACCTTGTGAATAAAATAAAACAATATTCTTGGTCAGATTTTCTGCATCATCAACTGAATGCATGTAAGTTCTTGGTAACATGATGCATACATTTTGCTGTACTGGACGTGCACAGCTTAGTTCAGTGGTATTGTTAATGTAACATTATAGCTCAACAAGCTTGCATTTATAGCATATTCCTTTAGCTGAGAATCTGTATTGCTCATAGATTGAGACTGTAACTCAACTTACTGCCTGCGGGCCAAATTTGGCCCCCCAACCATTTTATGATTCACAATAAGAATAAATTGATTAACACTGGGAATTGTTTTTGTACTTTTAGTATCCATAAGGTGCCAGAGTGCATAAAAAAGCAGTGCCAGTGCCAGTGGAGGATCTCCCTGCACTCCCCGATAGAGGTCCTAGCTAAGCCCCTAATGTCCTAAAATCTTAGAAACGTCCCATTGTACATGTATGGGGATGCTGCGACTGGCCTCCTGTCATTTTGCAAAAGTGTCCCCCAAGCAAAGGAAGTTGAGTATCCCTGCTATAGAGCAACGTTATTTCCACAGGAGGTGATCAGTGAAAGCTGCTTTTTAGCTGATTTCAAGCCAAAAATCTGAACATAAACTGATCCTGACCAGGTTGTGCAGCATAAGTTAACATGGAGATTTAAAAGAGAACTCCTTTGTGACTACTGGCTTTAGACTTAACGAACCTTGCTTAATCTTGCGTTGTGGTACACCCCTCTGAACAGGAACAACTAACATTAGAGCAGGCAAAGGCACAGTTTAGTACATTCTTTACATTTCAGCTCATGTTTTTAGTTATGGAATCTCTGTATACTGAGGATCTGAGTGACTACAACTCCATTTGACACACCTGCTGTTAGTGCTGAGCAATAAACTGCATTTTCATTGTCATCGCGAGATGAACATGCACGATCAACAGACTGCCAGAGATGCGATGAATGTGAGATAGAACTTTATTTAAACCTGCGGTCAGGGTCTGAAGTCAACGCCCACCAAGTGCAAAATGCAGTGGATTTTCTGTTTGGTGACCAGCCACACTGGGGGGGTCAATGTTTATACCAAGTCAGGTAAATGGACTGCACTCATATAGTGCCTTTCTAGTCATCCGACCACTCAGTGCTTTTTACACTACAAGTCACATTCACCTATTCACACACACTTTCATACACTGGTGGCCGAGGCTACCATACAAGGTGCCACCTGCTACTCAGTTTTTAAGACACTCAAACATCGATGGAAGCATCATCGGGAGCAATTTGGGGTTGCTCAAGGATATTTCGGCATGTGGACTTGAGGAGCTGGGGTTCGAAGCGCTGATCTTCGGTTGGCCTACCTCCTGAGCCACAGGCAGTAAAAACTCTGCTTGACATAGTGGCCAAACTGTGTAACTGCAACTTCCAGATCTGTCACATGATACCACGGGGCCATAAAAGACTTTTTCTCATAGGACGTATATTATGAAAGAGATTCCTGTAAATCAGTGGATACACTCCCCACATCATCAGTGTCACAACCCATGTGAAATGATTTATTTACTATCAGATCCATTCGGACCGATAACATTTTTTAAGTCTAGAAGAGCTGCACGATTAAATCATTTTACCCCCATTCAAGTTAGCGGTGCACTAAACCAAAAGTTAGCTGCTCGGCCAGTGAAGTCTCTAGTGCGCCTGCTGTATGGGCCCAATGATGTGGAAGATCTGAGTAATTTTATACACAGACAGATTTTGCACATAAACTTTTTTGGCCTTGTCCAACACTGAGCAACTTTCAAAGGAATGTAAGGGGCCCCGCCCCCAAAGCTGTATCCAGGTCTCATTATACATCCATGTTTCTACTGTGTTTTGGTGTCTTTTATGGCTGTGCTACATCTGTCCTCTGCTGTCTGTCTGTGTTGGAGTTGGACACTCACACAGGACCAGGGACTTCATGGTGCATTCAGGTGCACTTGTGAACTGTGTAATACTACATTGCTTTGCTGTAGGGACTTGATGCAGATTTTCCTCATATTGTGGAGGCCAAATGACAGCTAACAGACGGTCAATTATTAAAAATGCTAAAAATCAGAGCTGCTTTTTCATTATTAGTGAAAAGTCAAAGAGCTACAAGCCAAAAAGAGCTAAAAGGATCCGTTGATAAGGAAATTAATCTGGCATCATTTTTTAAGCAAAAGAAGTCCCAAAATTCTCCAGTGTCTGAATTTTCTGTTTTCTATCTCAGTAATCTGAATCTCTTTCTGTTTTGGACTGTTGGTTGAACAATACATGATATTTGAAGACACCACCTTAAAATTTCTTTTTGCTATTTTTATGACATTGTATTGACCAAAGACAGATTGATAATGAAAATAGTTAATAGCTGCAGCTCTAGATTTCATATTTCAAGCTAAAGACGTGTCGCGTGCAAAGAATAGGCAGCTGCTGCAGGAAGAACCGGAGGGAACAAATTAAATTTGACATTTTAGGATTGGTCCTCGCTGCCTCTGCTCGAGTTGAGATGCTCCGTGGTTTCTGTGAGAAAATATCATCCTCCAGATAGAGCCTGTTTTCTGCAGGATGTTCAGTTCATAGTTCATAAAATACAGACTGTTCCTGCAGCCTCAGTGTGTATATGTGTGTGTGTGTGTGTTTCTGTGTTTGTGTGTGTGTGTGTGTGTGTGTGTGTGTGTGTGTGTGTGTGTGTGTGTTTCTGTGTGTAAACGTGTGTGTGGTTACATAATCGCTGCCGTCCTCTTTCAGAAACGCAGCCTGCTTATTACAGCTGAAGTGGGTGTGCATGCATGCGTGTACGTATCTGTTCCTGCAGGAATGTTTGCCTGTGTGGTTGTGTGTGTGTGTGTGTGTGTGTGTGTGTGTGTGTGTGGCAGTGATTGCTGCAGGGTTTGTTTGTGTCCACGTTTCATTTGTATTTTTTCAGAAACACAAATTTAGAAGAATAAGGTAGAAAAGAAAAAAGTTTTTTTTTTTTAAAAAAAAGCATTTGAAAAAGAATTTAAGCAGTCCTGCTATTTAAAAATAAAAAGAAATTAATTTAAAAAAAATGAACAGAAAAAAACATTTAGCCTTAAGTGGTGCTTAGATTATATAAATATTATGAAGTATTAAGCAATTGAGAAAAATGTACGTTTTTAAAATATTCTGGAATAACAATCTAAAATGACGTGTGTTTTAAAAAAATCCTAATATTAAACAAAGAATTGTATATTTTTAAAAAACCTTAAACAAAAAGCCCCTTTTCTTTAAGCTGTGCCCACATTATATAAACATGTTAAATATTTCAATATTAAGCATTGTAGAATATATTAAAAACCATGCTTTCTGAAATAAAAC